CCTTAGTAGACTAAGTTTTGATACGAAAATTAATAACTTTATGTTGAGTGGTGGGTGAATTTGTAATTTTTTATTACTTTAAGGGTTGATTATTCTAAATAAACAAAAAAAAAAAAGGTAGTAAAATCAATTTTAGGTGATTTGAGAGGTTATTATTTATATTTATCAAAAAAATAAATGAATACATTAGAATTTTGGAGGATAGTGGTGAAATGTTGTCCTTATGGAGGAGTTTGAATAAAAGTTGTATCATGATCTTAATTCTTAACTAGATAGATTAATCTATGCCAATGTCCTTTGATCAAATTAAATTAGTGTTTAGTGTTCCCTTTTCTTAATATAGTCAAAATTTTGATAGTTTTTTTTTTGTTAATTCTATTATAATGTGTATTTGCATTGTTGATACATAAAGTAACGCTTATTTACACATTGTAAATACTTAGTCTACGACTAAGAGCAACTCCAATAGCAAGCTAATTGTCGCCATGCCACCTAGGATTGCAAAACTATTCTTCCTTCTAGCTAATCTATACCACAATGGTTAAGCTAAATGTCAATCATTAATATTTTATTAGAGAAAATTAATTTCTTTTTTTTAAAAAAGAAGAAAATTAATTTCTAAGCCAAGCTAATTATTTAGGGTTCTTTTGGCATCATTTTCAGTTTTCAGTTTTTTGTTTTTTCAAAACTGAAAACTAGTTTTAGTTTTTAATTCTTTGTTTTTAAAAACTATTTTCATTTCTCAATTTTGAGTTTACAATCAACTCTCATACTACCAAATAATTTATAGCTTTAATCAACTCTTATACTACCTATAGCTGCTTATTTATTTTCACAAAAAGAAATATACATATATTTCAATAATAAATTTATGGAAAATTTGTCAAAAAAAACCTTTTAAAAGGCTCATTTTGCAAGAAAAAACCTTTTAAAGCATTCTTTGTTAAAAAAAAACCACCACAATCATTTTTTTTGTTGAATGAAGCCTGATCTCTCTTTTTCGGCAGTGAAAGAATAGGAGCAGAGAGAGTATTATGTTGGGTCCACTAAGTGTGAGAAATGAATCAAATATTATAAAAGCTTTCAAAAATGAAAATGGAGCAAGTATTGACCAAGACTTTCAGGCATTGACTCCTTTAATTTCCTACTTGTTGCCATTTGTTTTGTTACTTGCACTCCCCTTTTTATTTTATTCCCCTAATTTTCCCTCTAACTTATGTGCTCTGTTTCTCTCTCTCCTCTCTCTCTGTTTCTCTCTCTCTTTGTCTCCTCTCCTCCATGAATGCTCTGCTAAACTATCAAATCAAAATGGGTTTTTCTCTCTCTCACTCTGCTCACCATTAATACAAGAACAATTAAATAAGGTAAGTGTAAAGTAATCTCTTTTAAAGTTGAAATTAGCCCAAAAAAATTGGGGTTTTACTTCGTTGAAGACCAGCAAAGTTGCTCACCTTTTTTTTTTACTGTTTTCAATGGGTAAAGGACAAAGGAAGACGACGCTTGGACGCAATTCAAAGTTTCCCAATTACGTAGTGAAGTACAAACCCAGGTATGTCTTCATTTGCGCAATTTGGATGTCAATTGATAGAGTATATCACCAAAAATCAGCGTAAATTGAACATAATTATCCTAATTTTTGTTGGTTGATTGTTGATTTTGACTTGTGATGGCGTAAATGATACATGCGAACTTGTGTTGATTGCTTAAAATTTGATTAGAATTGTGAAATTGTTGCCCTAGATTATTGAATTTCTGGAATTTTGTTGTTGTTGATGTGTTTGTCAGGTTTAATGGTAGAGTGAATGTGTTTGAACCTCGATTTAAATTCATGGAACCCATTAACATTAGGATGTATTATGGTGGTCATTTTGTGACTAAGAAAATACTACAACTTATGAGAGAAAACCAGATGTAGACCCAACAAAGTGGGGGATAACATTGCGTGTGAATGTGGAGGAGGTTTGTTTTTTGAGTTTGCACACTGGATTAAGTCTGATTTAGGCTTTGATGAGATTGGGGAAATTTGGTATAGGAAAAAGGGATGTTCTTTACACACTGGGAGGGCTAGAATAGAGGGAGATAAGGACATAGCAGAGTTTCTAGAAGCACCTGAGAAAGATGGCTTTTATCACCTCTATGTTGTGCATGCAGAGAAGGTGGATGATGTTAATAGGAATATGAGGTTAATGTATGAGCCAGGTGTAGGTTTTTATTCAGATAGTGAGAGCACAAGTGGAAAAGGCAGTGAGATGGCAAGAAATGGGGTTAGTGAGTCATTAAGTATTGTAGAGGGGGGACCACAAACACAAAAAAAGCATGACTCCCAAACTAAAAACCCTAGATCTGAGTTTCCTGGTACTCAAAGTGGTTTTGACCAAACTGTTTTTGGAAATGTTCTCCACTCCAAAAAAACAAAGCTTCCAATTCTTTCTGCATCCAAAAAACCACCGACCCAAATCATTGACATAAGTACCCCTTCCAATTCTGCCAATAGCTTCCCTGTTCTTCCAGAATTAGGGGTTCTTCCTACACTGTCTACTTTGCCAGAAACCAACCCAGAAATAGGCAACCAACAGTTAGCAGGGATTGAGGAGTTATCACTGGGTGAGGAGTTAGCAGGGGGTGATGATTTTGGAGGGGGTGAGGAGTTACCAGTAGGTGAACAATTAACAGGGGGTGAGGAGTTACCAGTAGGTGAGCAGCTAGCAGGGGGTGAGGATCTTGAGGAAGATGATGCAGACTTAAGTGAAAATGAATATGAGGACAAAGATGATGATGATTTGTTTGATGAGTTTGTAGATCATGACATACAAGAGAGGGTGACTAAGAGTTTAGGGGGTCTATCAAAGGAAGCTTTAGATGATGATGGTGGATATGATGTTGAGGATGGTTTGCAGATTGGGAATGATGAGGACATTGTGGATTCAGATGGTGAAGTTGTCAGTGAGGTAGGTTCAGATGATGAGGGGCTAGTGTATCCTGAGTTCAACCCAGAGGTTGATTTTAAAGGCAAAGTGGTGTTGACTAAGGGCTTGAAGTTCCCAACTAACAAGTGCTTTAGGAGGGCTTTACAGTATCATGCTATTGACCATATTTATGATTATTATTTTCTACATAACAACAACCAAAGGGTGAGTGCATATTGTGCTCATAGATGTGGGTGTCCTTGGAAGAGGGCTAGGATTTTGGAATGTACATGTAAGGCAAACAGAAAGTGTAAGTTTAAGATACATTACAGAAAGTTAAAAGGTGAGGCAACTTGGCAAATTAAGAGTCTAAGGCTTAAGCATATATGTGGGCACCAACATAAGAATTCAAAGATAACTTCACAGTACCTAGCTGAGAGGTACCTTGAAGACTGGAGGGATGACCACTACTAAAATTCGGCGAAATTGCGACCGCCTCAAACGGTCGCTGAAAATAGCAAAAACGGTCGCAAAACATAATTGCGACCGTCAACGGTCGTAACATGGTGGTCGTTATTCTCCTGGTCGCAAAAAAAACAATATTGCGACCGTTTGACGGTCGCAGATTTTTTGCGACCGTTTTTACTATTTTCAACGACCAACCTATAAACGGTCGCAAATACTCAGAATTGCGACTGCCATATGTACCGGTCGCAAATCTTGAATTTAGCGACGGCTTATGGCGGTCGCTAAAAGTTTTAAGAAAACAACAAAAAAAGTCAATCACTGCCAGTACTTCTCAGGCAGCAGCGTCACCACCACTCCCCCCAAACCAACTCCACCACCGTTAGGTCCCACCCAAGCGAAATCCACCCACCACCACCAACTGTCTGCATATTCCACCCAGCCCCCACCAAAAAATCCTACCCAAACGAACCAACTCCACCCGCCACCACCAGGCACCAGCCACCCAAATTTTTACCCACAAAAATAAATATATAACAAAAAAGACCCACAAAACTAAACCGACAAAATTGTAAAATTAAACATAAAACCAAAAATTCATATGAATATCAAATTCAAAATTTAAAATAAACAAAAATTATAAAAAAAAATCAAAATAAGGAAAAAAAAATTAACGAATTTAACAAAAAAAAACGAATGAATCAAAATCACAAAAAATAAACAAATTTATCATGAACATCAAAACCAAAATGAACAAAACTTAATCATTATAAATCAAACAAAAACTAAAGAAAAGCATTCTAAACTACCGATTCAAACAAAAACAAAATAAAAATCATAAAAATGAATGATAACTAAATTTAACGAAAATCAAACAAAACCAAACATGGAAATTCGAAAAAAAACCCAAAATTTCCAGAGAAATCAACATACCTTAACAAATATTTCATCCTCTTTGGGTTTTTATGGTCAAATTCGACCATGAAAACTCCAGATCTGGAATTTTCATGGTCGAATTCGACTATGAACACCAAAATTATTCAGCTGTAAACGAAAATCCGAACACCCAAATTGTTTGTTGCAAAAATTCGAAATCGAAAATAAAGAAAAAATAATGTAGAAAAAGATAGCAAATATGGAGGAAATGGTGATGCAAACGCCGGTTAATGGAGCATAAAGACATAAGAATAAGAAGAAGGAAAAGAGGAAAGAGATCGGGGATAACAAGAAGAGAAGAAGGAGAAGAGGAAACAGATTAGATAAAGGATAAAGGAAAGAGAAGAAGAAGAGAGGAGGAAAGAGAGAGGAGAAAGGCGTGAGGAGAGAGAGGAAAGAGAGAGTGAGCGGCTATCAACTGATTAGGGTTAGGAGTGGACCTTTTTATACCTTTTTTTAAAATAAAATAAAAAAGCATCCTTGCGACCGGTAATAGCGGTCGTAATTTTGCGACCGTTTGAGAAACGGTCGTAATTGGTGCATTTTGCGACCGCTTCTAACGGTCGCAACCAAATTAATTTAATTTTGAATTATTTTTCATATGTATTTTATTTTTAAAATATATTAAAATACCTTTGCGACCGTTTTATAACCCAAAAACGGTCGCAAATATCATTTTTTGCGATCGTTTCCATGACGGTCGTAGAAAAACGGTCGCAAAATGGCCGAATTTTAGTAGTGGAACCCACATGGAAGTTAGGTGCATTCATTAAAAGGGACAGGAGAGAGTGTAGAGTGGAAATAGGGTACTATTTAGCATGGTATGCTAGGCAGAGGGCTTTCAAGATGATTTTTGGGGATGTAGACTTAGAATATGAGCAGGTGTGGGATTATGCTGTTTCCATATTGAAGTATAACCCAGGTAGTACAACAGTGGTGAAGGTAGATGGAGTGCAAAACCCCCAACCTGTTTTCCAAAGGTTGTATGTGTGCTTGCAAGCCTGCAAGCAGGGATTCATGGCAGGATGCAGACCTATCTTGGGAGTGGATGGTGCTCACTTGAAGGGGGCATATCCAGGCATCCTTCTGACAGCAGTAGGGAAAAATGGCAACAACAACATCTTCCCTGTAGCCTGGGCAGTTGTAGAGGTAGAAAATGGAGAGACTTGGACATGGTTTTTGGAGATATTGAGGAAGGACATAGCATCAGTTGCAGACAGTGTCACTTGGGTTCATGAAGCTGATGAACTCACTTACATGAGTGACAGGAAAAAGGTAGTTATTTTGATTACAAGTTAGTCTATTTTTTATATTAAAAGCTGAGGAAGTATGCTTATTGCTTGCTGGAACATTTAAAACAGGGTCTATTGGATTCATTTGCTACAGTGATGCCTGTTGCAGATACTAGGTACTGTTGTAGGCATATTTGGAGCAACTTCAAAAACAAATTCCCTGGGACTGTCTACAAGGAACATTTTTGGAAAGCTGCAAGGTCAACCACAGAGGTAAAAGGCAGAGTGTATTATTGTTTGGTTACATATGCATCATTATTCAAAGAGTGTACTTATGCATTGTTGGTTATGTGGTCCACAACATCATTTCAAGCAGCATATGGAACAGATCAAGAAGATGAGTGCAGATGCATACAACTACTTAAATGCCATTCCACCTGCTCATTGGTCAAGACACAAGTTTAGCTCTCACTCCAAGTCAGGGATGCTATTGAACAATTGTTGTGAGAGCTTCAACAATGTTCTTAGGGAAGCTAGAACAAAGCCTATTCTACAGCTGATGGAGTGGGTAAGAAAATAGGTTATGGGAAGATTTTTTGCATAAAAAAGAAGGGCTCAAGCATTTCACTGGTTTGATAATGCCAACAATTTTGAAGTTTGTGCATAGAGGTTTGCAACAAGTGTCAAACATGAGGGTTACTCAAGCTGACTTGATGGAATTTGAAGTTGATGACTTAGAAGACACTTATGTTGTCAACCTACAAACCAAAGCCTGCAGCTGCAACAGATTGACACTTATGGGTATTCCTTGCTGGCATGCTCTAGCCTGTATTCAATTGAGAAGGCTTGACATAGAGCAATTCATTCACCCAGCTTATCATGTGGAGACATACACCAAGACATATGCTCCAACCTTTAAAGCAATGCCAGGTCATCAAAAATGGGAAGTCACCCCTTATCCAAGACCATTACCTCCTGCTCACAGAAACTTACTTGGAAGGCCTTCAAGTAAAAAGAGAAAGAAAGAAGCAGGAGAAGAGAAGAAAAGAAAATGAAGAATGTGAAGAGGGCAAAGGTGAAAAACAAATGCTCTAACTGTGGTGGGTTGGGGCATTACAAGAATAAGTGCCCTACTCCACCTGTTGAAAAGCCAAAGAGGCCTCCAGGAAAACCAAAGAAAGTTGCAGAAGCAGGGCAACCAAGAGCAGGGCAAGCAGCAGAAGCTAACTCATCTCAAGCTTCACAACAGTCCATCTTACTCTCTGCACCACATGGGACCTAGAATGCTAATGCCATATTGCCATGAAGCTTAACTTTCAATTTTTTTTGTAAAACAATTTGAATTGTGTACTTGGTCATGAAAGTATTTATGTGATCAATGTTGCTAGGCTTTTTTTTTATTATTATTTGTTTAACTAGCTCAACAATATTGCTACTTGAAACTAATTTTTTGTGAACAAACTCATGATGTGGAGATCTGCTTATGATCACATCAACTTGTGATATGTTATGTATGATTCGAAGATTCTTGTAGCTTTAAATATATAGTTTTTGCTTCCTTTTTTTTGGGATAGTTATACCAATATTCATCATAGGATAAAGGAGTAAGTAATGAACATGAACCAAAATATGATTGATACCAAAAGCTTGTTTTTTGATTTCATAAAAGGGGTACAAAATACACCACATTCTTAGCATTTCACTTAACTTAACCCCCCCCCACCAAAATAACAAAGTCTACTTAGCTAAAATCAACAACTTACCAACCTTGCTTTAACCCCTACATACTTACCAAACCAGCAGACCTAGCATTCTAACTACCCAAACATTTTCATCAACACCACACTAACAAACACAGAGACAACAACACAAAAGACAGCTAGCTTATACCCCCCAGCATTTATGGAACAAAGCTTCTTTGCATTCCCCTGTGAAGAATATTGTGATCTTCAAGGCAAGAAAGTCTAGCCTTCACAATAGTCAACTCGGTTGCCCTCCTATGCCTCTCAGCAAGTAATACATTAATCACCTCACGTTGCCACTCTGTTTGCTCCTCATCCAGCCATTTGAAAGTGTTGCAACCTCTTTCTCCAGTGTCGTGGTTGTACTTTTTGCAAGCCTCAAACCTTCTTCCCGGATTATCATGAGTCCAGAAGGTCCTCTTCGCACAGGGAAAGCCACAGCCGCAATTCACCATTTTACCTACAAAATTAAACAAAAAACAGAGGTATTATATTAGATATAAGAGAAGAACGCAATTGGAGATTTGAATACAAAAACTGAGAAAGAAATTGAGGAAGAACCCTATTTTACCAATTAATTGATCTGATTTTAGGGGAAAAGTTTCCCTAAATTGGAATTAATAGAATTTGGGAGGGCTAACCTAGACTATATATAGGAGAGAAATAAGGAAGACAAAAAAAAAGGAGGGAAAAGGTAGTTACTGTAGGCTGCAAGTAGGAAATTTAAATTAAAGACTCAACGCCTGAAATACTTGGTCAATGACGGAAAAGAGGGCTCAGGTTTCATTCAACAAAAAAATGATCGTGGTGGTTTTTTTTAACAAAGAATGCTTTAAAAGGTTTTTTCTCGCAAAATGAGCCTTTTAAAAGGTTTTTTCTGACAAATTTTCCTAAATTTATTGATTGAATAAGGTTATAACAAAATTTATAAGGAACAATTGTAGGGAATATTTCAAGCATTACCCCAAACTTGAACCCCACTGTGATCATACACTAAATTACGGTGGCGTCTAAAGGGAAAGAAGATAGAGCAAAAGAGTCGCCAACAAGTTTTAGGAACTTGTAAACCGTTCACGAGGTGAAGGTTACACCCCTTAACGATCCAGGAGACCGTCAGCTCCAATAGGCCTGGAACCATGACTGGTAGTTCGGGGATGAAGTACAAATCCAACCTAAAATAGATTGAACCTACCCTAATAATAGACCTCTACTTTATTCTGATCGTATTCATGTGCGCTTTCTGACTAACATGCAATCAATAGGTTTACCCTAAACCTGTTTATCTATATATGTTGGTTGAATATTAATGCACAAACAAAAATATTATTGGCGATCACTTGAATTATAATCAAATTAACCCTAACAAGATTATTAATAATTTTATTAAGTGTGATTACAAGTACAAATTCCCTTTAAACATGCATAAAAGGTGTGATCAAGCAATAACAATAATAAATATATATCAAGCAACATAATAATAATCATAAAAATATCATAATCATGACAATAATCATAACAATCATGTTAAAGCATAATAGCAAGATCCTAGACATGATAATAACAAGATTAATAACAACCCCTAGCATGTCACTAACAATAAAGATCAAAGCTTTAACCCTAACATGATACTAACATGAATATTAGGAAAAGAATAGGAAGCATCGCATGAATCACAATTGTCATATTTGATATTAGAAATTATAGTTGTTACCCTAAACATGATACTTAGAAGATCAAAACGCCCTAACATGACACTAGGAACCATAATAACAATCTAGACATGATTTCTATATCATAATATCAATAAATCAATTAAAGTACTTACTTGGACGCCTCGTATCTCTTTCTAATAACAAAATACACGCGTTAGTAACTTCAAGGAAAATAATAATCAAACAATTAAATTAAATAATTGAAAGAGATATTTGGGACCAAACCCTCAGAAATATAAAACCTTTCACGTCTAGGCGAAGGCAACTTCGAACTTGGCTAGGTGTGTCTAGATCTTTTGAATGCGGAATTTTGTATGCAAAAGGCTAGTTTAGAAAAGAGAGAGAAAGAGTAATCAAGAGATTTTTGATGAGAGTTGGTGAAAAGAATTGATAGATGTTGATGATTGAAAACATAATTTTAGGAGGCTATTTATAAAGAAAATCAGCCGGATATGATAAAAAACGAATCAGAGTTTCGAAAAGAATAAAACACGACTGCAGCGCCAAACACGCGCCTGTGCCAAACGCTGGAGTGCAGCGCCAAACGCCAGGTCTGTCGCCAGACGTCAGGTCCATCTCCAGACGCTGGTCTAGTCGCCAGACGCTACAATCAGTTTTCCACGTGTTTTCTTATTTTGATAAAATTTAACCGTACGAGAGGGCAAAATCGTATATTCCTTAAAAACATGTCTTTTATTCTGATTAAAACTCTTAAAAGTCAACTAAAGTCAATTTATCAATGCTAATCAAATTAGGATTTAAAAGAACCTTCTAGAAGAATCTAGAAGACTATAATCAATTCTAATTGCATTAGGAATGATAAATCAATAATAGGCCCTCCTCTAGATCATTGGGCCGCATATAAAGATCCAACCGGGTCCAGTTTAGTAATTTGGCCATAACTTCCTCATTATTCATTAGAATTGAGCTTATAATATATCGTTGGAAAGCTCTTTTCAAACCCCATCCAACTAAACTATTAGTGTACCCTTGCCATGAACCAAACCAAACTGGATTGGTTATTTTCTTAAAATAGGTTTTCAAAAACAGAGAGAAAGACAGAAATAAAAACTAACTGCAACACTAGACTTTCCACACTTTTACTTCATTCGATTATGATTCGATGTGAAAGGTACTCATCACTGGGTTTGGTTTTGGGGAGACACAAATGGGTGTCTACAACAACGAACTACGAAAAAAAAGTAACAATAAAATAGTCAAATGCAATGTAATATTTATTTCTCGTTGATAACTTTCATTGTGAAATTTGTCTTTCCCACAATCGTGTTGCCAAACGATCTTGAAATTGAGTCATTCATTGAAGTTCTTGCTGACTTATAGAAGGAGTCACTAGTCCTCAGATCCATTGTTGTTGATTGCATCTTCTTCTAATTTGACATTTTCATCGGCATATTGTATGAACAAAGGAAGTTTAAGATATATGGAAACAAAGTGTAAGAAGATCTATTAAAAAAAAAAAAGTGTAAGAAGATGGGTCGTGTTATAGGAAGTTTAAGAGATAACTTTTTCCTAATAGTATTGTACAAGCAAAAAGACTTGCGTGAACCTGGTCTACAATATTATTATTGTGGACTCGAGTTTTATACACACATCTGACATTATATTGAACATAGTGATCCTTTTTTAACATAGTGACCCTTATTTTTAACATAGTAACCATTATTAAAATTTGTACAACGATTAATATTATTGTGAACTTAAAGTACGACGTTATGACCCTAATTTTAAAATAGTGACCTTTATTATTCATATTGACCAGTGTATAAAATATTTCATTAAAAAAATAACGCCTATATATTACCAAAATGACAACATAGTGACCTTTTTTTTTTATTATTATTATAGTGACTTTTTTTTATTGATAAAAAACCATAGTTACTCTAATGTTAGTGGTTCACAACAAAATTAGTGTGAATCAGGTCCATTTAAAAATTTGTACTGTACAAGTAGTTTATTTTGTAAGTAATGTTTATTTTGTAAGTAATGTTTTCATTTGCTCAAGGAGGCACTATTTCTAAGTACTAGAGCAGTATATATTCTTGACAGAGCAATAGATCAGAGACATGGGAATCGTCAATTACATACCCAATTTTATCAAATGTCTATGGCCTACACTTAATTAGCAATGGAAGCTATTCGTAGACTGAACTCCAAACCCAACTCACACAACCAGATCACCAGATCGATACTCAAATCGATACTACATAGAATTGATCTGATATTCTGCCCACAAATTCAAGTAATTCAATTTGCAACATGATATAATTATTCAATTTATACTAACAAATAATCAACATAAACTCATATTATTTCAGAAAAAAAGCCCCGATTATAAAAGCCCAAAATAAATTATACACAAATTAGACAAAGAACGATTAAAATTTAGAAAAATAAAGAACAGAGATAACCAATTTTGATGAAAGAAATTGAATACAACCAAATTTAACAACAAAACATCAATAACTTTACAAATTAACAAAGTAGAAAGAAAAATGAGGAGAAATGTGGTGATTATAAATGAATTTTAAAGAAAAGAGATCAAAGAGGAGAACACTCTATACCTATAATTGCTTGCTTCTTCAATCTTGAGAATGATTAAGGTTTGAGGAAGAAAGATGTAATATCGAATTTGAAGGAGAAACCATTGATGAAAAGCGTAGCTTTGATAGGTTTTTTTTTTTTTTTTAATATATATATATATATTTTTTATTATTATTTATTTATTTATTTTTAAAAAACCCCTAAAAACTGTTTTGAGATGTTTTAGGTTTATTGTTGTAGTTTTTACAAAATAGATGTAAAGTTGTTATTTTAAGCTATTTTACCAAACACTGTTTTGTTTTATTTTGGGGTAAAAAACATAAAAAAAAAAAACAAAAACAGCAATGATGCCAAACACACCCTTAATTATCCTTCAATGTTTTGGCTATTAGCTTGAAAATTACAAGCTAGTCCTCTTGGTATAAAAAAAAAAAAAAAAAAAAAAACATCCCACAAATAGCAATCAAAATCCCCTTCGCAAAACCTTAAACCACCTGAAAATCCATTCTTTGGCCCTTGCTAATCAAACTCAACAATGGCTTCCAGTCTCCTAGCAACCACTTCATTCTCTTTCTCTCCCCTTAACAAAAAAACCCATCTAATTCCTTCCTCCATTACACACTACAAACTTCACACCACTAATTCACCTCCTTCATTAATAACCCTCCAAAAGGGCACTTCCCATTTCACAATTAACCCTCAATTTCTCTCTCATCCCTCAAAATTAAGGGCACCTGCAACAAGAAATCCAGAAAATACCCTAACAAACGAATTGGGGGTAACAATTTTTGGGGAAAAACCCTTGAAAGCTGTGTTATGGGTGTTGTTTTGGACATCTGTTTCTCTTACAATTTTTGCATTTTCTAAAGATAGTAAGGCTTCTGCTGCAACTGTCGCTGTAATTGCTAAAGATTCCTCCATTAAAGCTTCGAGCTTTGGGGTTAAAGTTGCTACCTTTTTAAGGGGTTCTGGTTGGCCTGATGAAGCTATTGTATTTGCTCTTGCTACTCTTCCTGTTATTGAGCTTCGTGGGGCTATTCCTGTTGGTTATTGGATGCAACTCAATCCTCTTTTGCTCACCGTTTTATCAATTTTAGGGTGAGTGATTGCATCATTTTATTCTTCATTCTTTATGTTATTGGGTAATTACTGTTTTTCTATTAGAAATGTTTTGTGGGGTTGATTAATTCTGGTGCTTATTGATTGTTATCGAAATTGTTATTGGATTCCCGCTATTGGTAGTGGTACTCAGACAAAATCTCGTATTGTAGTTGCTCGCAAAAGTTCCTTTGCTTGAATCGGTGAAAATGTCCTTGCAATTAATTGAGTTTTAGTACTATGATCATGGTATCAATTTTGGCTGTTTGTGCGTATTCTAATTTCTTGATGCGATTCTTGATTTCGGAGTGTTATGTTGAGATCATTGTGCCTGCAAGTTTATAAATTTAATGCTCTTGTTACACCAAGATAAGTTTCTGAGTGGCATTGAAAGAATTGTAAGTTATTCAAGATTGGCAGTATGTTTAAAGGTGATATTGTGAGACTCGCGATTGAATTCTGTTGTGTCATTTCCCTTTTATCACTCCGTCTGCACAACAAAGATTAAAAAAGAAGCATTAATGACTAAAAGGATATGAAGATCAGTTGCCTCAATTGGGAATGGTTTTGTTAAAGAGTGAAAATTCAAGAAATGAGACATAAAGCTGCATATATGACTAATTGAACCAATTTCGGTATGAAAATATTGCAGCGTTGGTTTGGTTTTAAGTTCATAAGGTGGCACCTAAGAAGAAATTTATCAGCTAAGCTAATGTTAGCATATTTGAAGAGTTGTGCACGACCTGATCATGTGGTAATTTTGGGTTAGTGATCATATGTATGAGGCTATCCAGGCATAGAAAATGTTGCTGCATTGGTTAAGGTTTTAAGTTAAAAAATGGCACCTTAGTGGAACTTTATCTGCTAGCTGCTGTGCTATGTGGCTATCATCTTCAAAGTGTTATGCACGACCTGGCCATGTGGATTTTTGGTCAGTGGTCATATAAATGAGGTTATTGAGCTGTTTTCAAAAATTGGTCTCGCTACGTGTTTGGGGGGAGCTTCTTCTTTGTGATTTTGAAAATTCACTCTGTTCAGTTTACTGTATATAACATGAATTTTTGTATCTTTTCTTGTTATAAAATTAAGTTTGTCCTAGTCACCAATATGAATCATGGGAGAAACATGAATAATGTCAGGGAAAATATAGATATTTGATTGACATTGGGCTGATCTAATTCGGTTATGTATGTAATCACAGGAACATGGTTCCAGTTCCTTTCATTATTCTCTACCTAAAGAAGTTTGCCACTTTTGTTGCTGGGAAGAACCATACAGCATCGAGATTTCTGGACATGCTATTTGAGAGGGCCAAAGAGAAGGCTGGACCGGTGGAAGAGTTCCAATGGCTTGGTTTGATGTTGTTTGTAGCAGTGCCTTTTCCTGGTACTGGAGCATGGACTGCTATCATTGCTTCCGTGCTGGATATGCCCTTCCGGCCTGCTGTAACAGCAAATTTCTTTGGTGTGGTGGGTGCTGGACTTCTTGTCATTCTGCTAGTGAATCTTGGCCTCAAGTATGCTATTATAACAGGCATTCTCCTCTTCATTGTTTCAACGTTTATGTGGAGCGTGCTTCGAAGTCTTAAAAAGTCACTGAAATCAGCAAACTAATTGTACTCGAATTCAATTATTTATTACACTAACCTTCTCTTGTATGGGAACTTGACCATATCAGCACCCTCTCCTACCCTAGTACAAGACAACAGTAGATCAATTCTTTTTTTAGTTTCATACTAGCTTTGTGAATGTATCTTAAATCTTGACATAATGAGAAACAAATCAGTATTACTTTCTCTGTTTTCTTTTACTTGCAACACTTTTCTAAAAAGTACATGTCACAATAAAAGGAAAGTTACTTTAGGGAAAATCTATACTATTTTCCTTATTTAAAGCACATGACCCATTAAATTACACTCCTAATAATCACTCATCCTATTTTAAAGTTTATTATATCATGTAAACCCCACCTTTCTTAATTACCGTGCTAAAGGGTGTGTTGCATCTAAAAGAAAAACAAAGGAAGTATAATTTTGTCATCAATCAAATATCTTCTAGCAGATGAACTTGTAACAAATAGAATACCCGTCTACTTTTGATTTATGGTCTTGGATCTCGTTACAGAATTGGCTTTCTGACCAATCATCTAAATCTGTATTATGAGTTGTTCGAAAACTATATACTCACCTGACATGGTTTCATCAGATCTAGGGGGTTTGAGTTTTTTATTTATTTATTTATTTATTTATTTATTTATTTATTTTTTGACAAGGGGGGTTTGAGTTGAGTTCTAAATAGTTTAAATATCTACAATCTAATAATATATATATATATATATTTTTTTTTTTTTTTTTTTTTTTTTTTGAAACATCTACAATATTTTATATGTACTCAAAAGTTCTATGATTTTTTTGTATCCTAATACAAAGAAAAACAAATTATGAGGCCCACGTTCAGCCTTACTTCTAGTCCAAGTTTCTATGCAGCAAATGTCTAGAAACAGGCAGAGCCAGCAGCAAAAATCCTCCACACCAGCCGCCTAAGCGAGCCAAGCCACTAATGCTGGAAATTGCTGGTATTTGTGGTTTTTTTAATTATTATTATTTTTATTTTTATTTTTATTTTTATTTTTTTTATTTTTTTATCCCTTGGCATGTCAGCTGCCCTTGACAGTGCTGCTAGTTCTGATGCAAAGTCTTGACAGTGCTGATAGTTCTAATGCCAAGTCATACTGTCATACCCTCACATGACTCTTGTTAACCAACCCCAGGCCATCAAGTTAAGTCAATCTGTAGACTGTAGTCCTTCTTCACCCATTGTTAGAAGAAAGTAACACCTTAATTTGAATGCGCAAAAAATAGCTAGTTACAATTTACAACAACAAAATTTAAATTTGTCATATTGTAGCAATTAAATAATAAGAGAGAATATTGGTAAAATATACTTTGTATAGTATATAATTGTTGATCAATTTAATAACCCTGATAGTTTTACAAAGCTCTTATAATAAAGATTACACAATTGGTAGATAATTGCCTAACCGGCCTTAACCCTATTCTTTGACCTAATACGCATAACTAATAATTACGTTTACAAAGAAAAAATACATATCTTCTAATTAAGGCCCTATTTTGTTCACCTTATTTCCATATATTCAGGAAAAATAAGTTCCAAAAGTTGTGTTAAGGATTAATCATAACTACCAAGTTTAATTTATAACAAAAGTAAGTTCTAATAAGGGCTAATAAGTCCAGATAAGTTTTGATAAAATCAGATAAATTCAGATAAGTTTAGATAAGTTCAGATAAGTAAAAATCAGGTGAATAGAACGCACCCTAAGAATATATTTAAGAATTAGGGATGGCAATGGGTCGGGTTGGGTCGGATGTGAATAGTGGTACCTCCATACCCTAGTGGCGGATACAGGAAAAAATTTTAACGGGGTCAAAATACATTTGATCAATTTTAATGGGGTCAAGTGGGTAATTTTATAGGGAAAAAACTCAACTTTATAACAAAAATACTATATCTGTTACATATTATGTGCAACAAAAATATCGACACAGACGCCTAGATAAAATTTGTATGTGAGTGGTAAATAGAGTGAAATATAAAAAATCATGTGATGAGGAGAGAGAAAGAGATAAATGACAACCAATACAAGGAAAGAAAACATTTGTTGCAAATAAAATGTAGCATTTATTTTTAGTAAATGTTGCACATAATATGAAACGTAGGTAGTAATTTATTTTATAAGAAAAAATTTATTTGTTTTGTTCAAGTGGGGTTACTTGACCCCACTTGCTACTACATGCATCCACCTCTGCCATACCTGTAACCGCCTAAAAATTTTATACTCATCCTCGCCTCACCTACCACCCGTGGCGGGTACAATATCCACATCTTTACCTGCCCCATCAGGTACAAGATAGGATGTCCCCGTTCCACCACCCATTAGGATATCTATACCCACCCATATCTGCCCCCAAACCGTCCAAACCCACTACTATGATGTTGTATTGTATCACTTTTATGACAATTATATCAAATTAGATTAAAAAATTAGGGACTCTTATTGTTTAGGCTTATTGGGCTTTGGGGTATTAAGTTTCATAAATTATAAACTCTTTTGAAGGAAATATGGGGTGGGTATAAGGCAGATATGAGGCGAGGCGGGTATAGGGCGGGTCTACTCTAAATTCCATACCCGTCCCATCACCCATAGCGGGTACACATTTTATTCCCATCCCCATCCCATCACCTGTAAAACTTCCCTCCATCTCCCGGGGCGGAGATGGGGTGGGTCTCCTATTTAATTCGATCGATTGTCATC